GTAGAGAACTGCACGTCTTGCTTTACACTTGGTTTCTCAATCGATGGCCCCTTCGATTGCCTCATCAGTGAATGACATTAGAAATGTGAGCGACATTTTGGCAAAGCTGAAGAAGATCTATGCTGGAGCTGAGAACCATATGAGGGTGTTTTAGATTAAGCGTGAGATAGAGACAGTGGTTTAGAGTGATAGATCAGTTGGGAGTACTCCATAGATCTGGAGCGGCTATGACAAGATCTTGATCACTTCTCTTCTGTGTCTAGCTGTAGTGATCTGGGGTGCATGAACATGAAGATCTTTGCATAAATGAGGATTATACAATTTCTAACTCTTATGAACAGGTTTTGATCAAAAATTGTTTCTCTTAGCCTAGAAAATGATTTCTTCATTGGATAAGACCATCACAGCGATGATAAAGGAGGAGTCGCATAATGCTACACTCGAGTGGATTTCCAGGCATGCAATTAGCTTTAGCCGCCTCGAGTGAAGGTATGACAGGTGCTTAGGGGGAAGCCCGCAGGTGCTACAATGGCGGAGAAGTGGGACACCTTAGTAAGGCTTGTCTAAAGCCTCCCAAAAAGAGAGAGAATGGTGGATGTGGAATGTCTAGAGGTCGTGGTCGTCACATTGGGGCCAAAGAGGTCGAAGAGGGGGCTATCAGACAAATTTGATTGTAGCAGAAAATGAGGGAAAGATAGGGGTGATCTTTTTCGATTAGAACACGAGTTGTTGGAGATATTGAAGCGGAAGTAGAAAGCAACTGGTGATGAGACTGAGTATACATTTGTCTTATTGTCATCAAAGGGGAACGCCGCTACTTATGGTCACCCAGCTAAAGGTACTTATCATACACATGCTCTTGCCTCTATATCCACTATAAGATCACCAGGCTAGATAGTGTATTTTGGTGCATCTCGACTTGCAATGCATAACGTTAGTGAGTTCTATTCCTATACTCATCTAATAAGGGGCATCCAGATAACAAATGCTACAAAACAACTTGTGGTTGATAGGGTACAATGGGATGTACTAATTCTATAACTGTCCAATGTTTTGCACGCTCCTTCTCTTCCAGTGAACTTTTTATCTATAGTGTTGTTATTCTCTAACTAAAAAATATTATTTTCTTTAATATTCCTAAGATGATCTTTCAAGAGAAGTGGATTGGCCGGAGACTCGGGACTAGGACGTGACATAGTGGACTGTGATGTTTGGATAGAAAGGGGATAGACTCAACACTGACATTCTTGGTAAAACGTGCTGGAGTAGAAGAATCTGAGAGGAGTGTGGAGGATGTGCTGCTATTTCATTACAATCACATGAGACACTCTTCATTTAGTCTTTTGAGTCGTTTATATTCGTTTTTGTATGATAAGACAAATAAACAAAAAACTTGTGTGTGATTTATGTGAGTTGGGTAAGCATACCAGAAACTTTTATGTAAGCTCTGGTAATAGGAGCTCTTGTGTTTTTGATTTGGTGTATTCAGATATATGGGGACCTTGTTCTATAACTTCGATGAATGACATATATATTTTGTGACTTTCATAGATTGTTTTTCTCGTGTTATCTGATTATATATGACGAGCAACAAAAGTGACGTGATCGCTTGCATTAAGGATTTTTACAGGGCGATTCAGATGACACGGGGCAGTTTTAAAAAATATTTTGGTCTGATAATGAATCAAAATATACCAACAAGACGTTTGGGGAGTACATGTCTGCCTAGGGGATACTACATCAAACCACTTATCCATACACATCAACACTACATGAAATATCAGAAAGGAATAACAAATACCTTCTAGAGGCAGTTTGAAACATGATCTCGATGAATATCCCAAAAACTCCCATAGGGACTAGCAGTTTTGATAGTCGCACAATTGATCAACAAAATGCCTTCAAGTGTTTGGGTGACAATCTTCTTGTGAGTTGTTGTGAGGAGATAATCACGTAATTCTCCTATTGAAGTTGTTTTGTTGTGTACGTTTTGTGAAGAACAATAGACCATCAATAGGAAAGATGTATCCCAAAGCTGTGAAGTATGCTTTTGTGGGTTATTATGCTACTTAGAAGGGTTATGTTTGCTGGAGCACAATAGAGAAGAGATAATTTGTGAGTATGGATGTGATTTTTAGAGAATTCAAACCGTACTATTCCTTAAAATGGAGGTATGAGGCTAAAGGGGAAGAGTAGTGATGGTGAGAGATTGATACATGTGGGAACAAGGCATTGTCCCATTGTGTGGGAATGATCAAATGAGTAAGAGCCAATCCTTGAGGAAGATGAGTCCGACGGCGGTGCTATTCAAGCCTAAGGTGAGCTGAGGGTGTATACAAGAGGAGGATGCAAAATGATAGAACAGTGTCTGCCGTGCCACTCGCGCCAACAAGTCCCGTGTCCCAGTCTATCTCGACTTTTGAGGACTTACACTATCCACCTGAGAATCTAATTACGCAAGTGATATGATTCCTCTCCCCTCTTCTCACACTCCCATGAATTTAAGGAGGGCCTTTTGTAGCAATGCAGTCCTGATCGTTATTCTCCTGATTGTTTAGGTTTCTCTAATGAAATTGTTCAATTTGTCTCATAATCTAATATATCACCTGTATAGGGAGCATTCATTGCATCTTTGGATAGCCTCTATACCCAAGTGTGACAGATAGTTAAGGAGGATTCAAAGTGAAAGACTGCTATGTTGGAAGAGCTTGGTGCTCTCGATAAGAACAAGCTGTGAGAGTTGTTGCTGCTAGTAGGAAAAATGGAAGTCAGGTGCAAATGATGCTTCCCATTAAACAAACCCAGATGAAAAGATTGATCGCTACAAAAAATGATTGGTGGCGAAAGGGTATAGTCAGACGTATGCATCGGCTATAATGAGACATTTGAAACAGTAACAAAGACGAGCATAGTCAAGAGAAACATCTCTCTGGCTGTGAATAGTGAATGAATATTACACCAACTAGATGTAAAGAATGTATTTCTTCACGGGGATCTGCTAGAGGTGTACATGAGATGTCGTCAAACTTTGACACAAACCAAATAGTGGGCAAGATATGTAGACTGAGGAAGTCACTTTACGGCTTGTAAAATTCTCCTCGAGCTTGGTTTGACAGGTTCAAGGGAGCAATGTTAGGTATGGGCTATCCACAAACCAATGCCGACCATATATTGTTCTTTCGATGACATGGTGCTCATATTACTATTCTTGTTGTGTATGTTGATGATATGATTTTCATTGGTAATGATAAGGAAGAGATTGCTCAGATGAATGCAAGTATGGGTAAAGAGTTTGAGGTGATGGACTTGGGTTAGCTTAAATATTTTCTTGAAATTGAGGTGGCTCATAGAACAGAAGGGATTGTTCTATCTCAGAGGAAGTTTGTGCTAGACTTGCTTATAGAGACAAATATGTTGGGATGAAAGCCTGCAGTTACATCAATTGATCAAAGCCTGCAATTACACCAATTGATCAGATGGGAATGTTGAGCATAGAGTTAAGAGAGACAGTTAATCATGAGAGGTACCAGAGATTGATAGGTCGTCTCAACTCTCTCAATCACACTCGTTCTGACATATTATTTACAGTAGCTTAGTGAGTCGCTGCATGCATGATCCGAGGAAGGGTCACATGAATGTAGTGTATCAGATTCTGAGGTATCTGAAGTGTGCACTGGGGATGGTGTTGATCTTCAGAAAAAGTGGGCATTCAGGCATTGAAAACTACTGTGACTCTGATTGGGCTAGATATGCTGATGATAGGAGGTCCACATTAGGATACTACATGTTCGTGGGGGCAATTTGGTCTCTTGGAAGAGCAAGATGCAATCGGTAGTTGCGAGATTGACTATAGTGGAAAAATACAGGGCCATTGCCTTAACAGTTGCCGAGTTGTTATGGATGAGAACTCTATTGGTAAAAATCAAGGTGGACCAAGTAGCTCAAATGAAGCTGTGGTGCGACAAGTCAACAATCAGTATTGCGAACAACCCGGTGTAGCACGACAGAACCAGGCATGTTGAGATTGATAAGTTATTCATCAATGAGAAGCTGAATAGTGGACCACTGAGACAAGTCATGTAGTTACTAGAGAGCAAGTGGTTGACTGCCTCACCAAGGGTCTGTCCAGGTTGTGTAACAAGATGGGAGTATTGATAATTTTTTGTTCACCTTGACGAGTGTTGACAATTTTATATAGTTTAGGGTCTTATATTTGTAAATATGAAATGTAGAAAAAGTTATGGGTTTTATTTATGAAGAAAGTTGTAAGGCTATATAAGCTCAATTCTTCCATGAATAGATTAAGTTTTTTAACAAACTCATTTCAATTATCACGTTATTAGGTTGTAGATCAGTATCAATAGTTTTGATGTTGCGTTTGATGATACTAACATTTAAAGCTGATTGTGAATAACATTAGTATTATATGTAGAGGTGGTAACATACAAATGTCATAACCTTCAAATGTAAGATGATATTGATTCTCTTTAACATCAGTGATACTAATGACTTGCATATTTCAAAATTCTTTTGAGATTGTTTGACCATCAAATTTTTTTTTTATTGGGTGGTGCTTATTGCATGAGAAGGTATGTGTAAATACTTTCAAATCTGTAATTTTGAAGTTGTATATATCAAATAATGGCATTGTCTTAAGTTTGAATGCTATATATAATAGTTATAAAAATACAAATAAGAAGAGAATTTTCGTTCTCCTTCTAGGAGAAGAAAAGCCAGTAATGTTTTTATACTTGTTTATAACTGAATAAATGTATGTGTGTGTGTCTATTTGGGCGATGGCACATATACATGTGTATATATATTATTATATCAACTTGATTTTTAGTTCATTTGAACTAGCTTCGACATATTATAGTTGAAGCAAATCAATTTTGAGTAAATTATAATTGACTAGTTCCCAAGGGAGTTTCAACTTTTTGAGATAATCATCCACCTTGTTTTTATGTCTTGAAGTAACATCAAACTGATATTTTTTGCAGCTCCTATCATCGATAATGCAGGTAGGCAACTCTTAGAAGAAAATGTACGAGTTTTGGGCCAAATTGCTTCTAATCTTGAAACAGTAAAGGTATACCGCTACATCTTTATTTGTTTAAATTCTCGTCTTATCTTTTATGTGACTAATGGTCGCATAAGAATAATTCCATTAGATAACATATTAAAGTCAATTGCTTTATGTCGTTGTTTTCGTTGGGAAAGCAATATCGTTTGCTTTTTCTACCGATGTTAAATGAGCATGATATGGAAAATCTTGTATTGGCATTATAATATAGGAAGATTTGCATACGTATCACACAATTCCTATGTATTTACATATCTAACAACTAAATTTCTTTTGTTACATACATGCCACATTCCATATGCATGGAAAGGTGTATTTCAGTTCGTAAAAGTTAAAATTATGGTATTTTTTATGTGATATTAATGATTTGGGTGGCATAAATGTAAAAATTAACGTTTAGGTGTTAGATATGTAAATATAAATGCCCCTATAATAATTAAGCTTCTGATTTGTATTAGCTATAAAATTTTAGCTGTTATTTTATTCATAAGTGGCAATAAGAAAGAAAGATATTTGTTAAAACTCTCTAAATTTTTATGTGCTTTTACATATTGTATTATTATGGTAAGCTGCCTCTTGTAGTTTTGCTTTATGTAGTTCTTCATGATTTCAAAACTTGGTGTACATTTTAATGATTCATGGATATAGTTAATGTTATTTCTTTTTATCTTGTTAGGCAATAATTTTTATCATAACCTTTTTTTTTAATAAATTTTGTGATTCGTGAATTTTGCAAATGATGTGGTCCTACCTGTTTTATGTGCAATGGTCAGGCATAAGTATTATATTTGAATTTTTTTTAACATTTCTTTTTTGTTAGGAAATATTTATAATTTTCTTTTTATAATTAGAAGAAGCCTTATTCCCTTCAGTTTATTTTTCATCAGCCTTATGAATCTTTCTGTCTCAGTTCATTCTTGGTAAAGGTGGCATTTGGTGCTTCATTTTAGTTAAGACTTTTTAATGCCTTCTAACTTTGTCAATATTGCAAGAAGACCAAGTGGTTTCTAGGTGTGATATGTTAAAGTATTTTGATCTAGTATACCCACAAAAAAAAAAAAAGTAAGAAATAAATGAAAATTCCATCTTTTTTCTAAAATTTAACCTAAGTGATTCTAATGAAGAAGTATCTTACTAGTCTTATTTGATAAGAGAATATTAGAATTTTTCATAAACTTCATAAATTTGTATTTAAACCTGTGCTACAAAAATCTATGTGGAAATAAGTATGGTAATGTTGAACAAGATGAGTGTAGTAGAAAGGATAATATTAAAAGGGATCATGGATGTGGTATAATTATAAAGGATAAAAGGAGAAATGATATATCAGAGAGAAATGTCAAAATAGTCTCTGGATTATTTATTGGGGGAAATTTTGGTCATAGGCTATCTAATATGTTCAATTTAAACCCTTAAATCTTCAAATCGGATCCAAAATAGTCCCTGAATTGTTCACATCCAATCCAACATAATCTAATAGAGGGATTATTTTGAATTATATTTGAGTCATGGGACGAAGTTAACATATTAAAAAATTTGGACTACAACAAATAATCCATAGACTATTTTGAACCTTTTTTTACATTATATAGTTGAGGAAATAGTTTTTATTGAAAGGCAAAAGATAAATCAATAAATATCATAGATAGAACTAAGAAATAAAACATGTAAAATAAATTAACTTGGCTTGAAATTACCCCAAATTTGCATTATGTGGTCCGAACCTTGGTAGCATTTAGTAGGAATGAAATCAGGGATTCATATTGTTGACTACAAATAGTGGGATTGAACTACTGATGAGGATGATGACTAATTTGATTGAACAATTGCCTTTTTATTTGCCTAAGAGTTGTGATTAATGACCCAACTTGTATTCTTTGGAATATAATACGCCTCAGTGTTTTGGAGCGTTATATTGAATACTTTCCTTTTGAATTTATTCATTTATTTATTTTTGCACTATTCTTTTGGATTTGGATCTATGGCATGACTTGATTGGGTCATGCCTATTTCTTGCCTTATATGTTACATCATTTTCGTTTATTTTGATGCCTCTTTTTCTTCCATATGCAGATCCAAGATAATGTAAATCTTTTTCTACGTACAAGAAACAATATTACAGCGATTCTAAGTAGGTAATGTATTTTTCTTGATTGAGGACTTGTAAGTCTAGTTTGTTTTATCTTTTTCATTTATTTTGTCTATTGCTCTCTATTCTTGAATATATTTCCTGAAGTGTGCTTATTCTTGCAAATAGCATGAGTGGAATGCCAGGAATAATGAGTCAAATGCCACCATTGCCAGTGACCATAAATGAGGATCTTGTTACAAGTATTCTTCCAAGTCCAAGCCAAGTAAGGAACCATGCACTTACATCCTTATTATCTTGATTCTTACCAGATATCAATTATTTAAGTTTATGCCTATATTTATATCTGTGGTACACTATAAAGAATAAAAATGTTCTTTTTATATATATATGTTGCATTGTTTTTTTTTTAAATTTGTATAGGCGCATAAATTTTATTTTCAGAGTTAAGAGCACAAAACCACTTCCTTAAACAAGCCAGTAACTAGCTGCAAATTCATTTAGTATTGATGTATATCTTCCATGACACCAACGATTTTCCATTTATTTTTAGTAACTATAATATGATTTAGAAATTTGATTTCTCAATTACTCGTATGTTCATAATAAAATTTTGAGCAAGAACCAAAAGAAGAGAGGATGAATATAGATACAGGGCATATAAATTTATGCGATTTAGTAAGAACACCTAGATCCATTGTCACATATAAATTAAATAGTTTTATAAAACATTACACATGTGTATGGAGAAATTACACGTCTACAGAATTTGATGTATAAACCAATGCATTACTTTGCCTATGTCACTGATTGAGAAAAAATGCAGCTACTACTGTGAAGATGAAGCTAGATGTGGAGAACAATTTTTTTTTTCTGCTCTATTCAATTCTTTCTTCTCTGCTGTAGGAGTTCAAGTGAAAGCTTCTGTTTTCTATGGCATAATGTTTCTTCTTTTGATGACTCTCTTTCTTCTTGAGGAAGTAGAATATCTCCTTCATATAAGAACCTAAAAAAACTCCACACTAATCTCTTTTTTGATAGTCTGTTTCTTCTCTTTCTCTTGATGCATTTTATTTGCTTTTGATTGTTGGGCTGACCCCTTTTTTAAAATCTCTATTTGTAATAATAATATGGTTTGGAGATTATTAATTCTAAAAATTTTAAAGCTCTATTAATAGAACATCTTATAACATCGTTCAAATTTTTAATTCTAAAAACCTTCTCTTCCATTTGGAGACAAAATTTTAGAAGTACCTACATAATAGCCGTATTTGTGAACATTCCTTTGTTTGACACCTATTTTTCATCAATCATGAAGGATGACTTTGGCTTTTAAAAGCCTGTACTTATTTGCCGGTTCCACCTTTGTGAGCACAGTAATAGAATTTTCTGCTCCTTTGATTATATATATACCTGAGTTATATGTGCTTTGTCTAAACATAGAATATGCTGTTCTTTGTCGAGTGAATAACACTTCTACCATCACGAAAAATCTGTGTAGTTCTTCCAAAAATCCTTTCAGCTGGATCATGTTCTTGATCGCTATGATGGAAGCTATATTTTAACTTAATTAGTAGGAAATACAATTAAATTTTGCAGTTATAGCTCCTAATTAATTGCAATGCCACCCATAATATAAGTTTGTCTTACGGTTGTCCTTATATCTGAGTCCCACCTAGATTCAATTCAACATAGCCATGTAAGTCAATCCTTTCAAGCTTTTGATAATAATTAAAAGTACATTTATGATAGCACAATATCTACTTGACAGTGTCTAGAGCTATTTTTTTAGATTTGAGATGCGTATGGTGATTATTCTCACTGCTTATGTAATATGTGCTTTGATATATATCTTTGGATGCAGGAGTAATCTAATAGTTGACACATAGGTGACATTGGCATGTGCCCCTTTTTATCTTTAGCTTTTCACATCCTTTCTTTAGTCAATCTAGCTTGTCTAGTGAGTGGTTATATTTACAGTCTTTGCCTTTGCCATATTAATTTTCTTTTGCACTTTTTTCAATATATTTTGACTATGAAAAACAGTTGTCCTTATAGCATTGTTCCTATTTATCCTCATTGTTGAGAAACTCCGTTGGCATTCTTCTCTTTAATTTGTTGATCCTTTTAATATTAAACCTTGCAATTAATATGCGACAACATACAATAAATATAATAATGTACTCTTTTCTGATATTTCTATATTGTAATAGTGTTTTATATTTCATATGCATAATTCAATCTTATCCATTAATCTATCTTTTATTATCTGTACCATTGATGAGATGTTTGTTTCAAGCCATAATTGCTTTTATTTAGCTTGCATATAAGGTTTTCTTTCTTCAAGTGTTCAATATTGATTTTGTGATGTACCATGTAGATGCTTTCCTTCATGTCACCATGAACTAAGGCTATCTTAACATTTTTTTTGTTGAAGATATAGATTTTTTTGCTATAATGTTCAATACTAGGCGACTAATTATTAGTTTAACTACAAGAGAGAATATTTCCGTGAAGTCTACATTTTTTGTTGGAGCCCTTTATTACAGAGCCTAAACTTATGGCTTGTTGGCTCTTATCTATAATTCTTTCACTTTTTATATTCATTTATTTTTGTAACACCCATTTTCTTTTAGGAAACTTGGTTATTATCTAAATGTCATTCTTAAGAAGGTATTTTATTCTATTATTATTATTTTATTATTTTTGGAAACTCGACAAAATTCTTTACCTATATAATTTTTCTGTAGCACTCGGGCCCTTATGCATCTTTCAACAACATGAAATAATGAGAAGTAAGGTGATGGTTAGTCAAGTTGTGTGTTCTTTGTGGCCATCTAACCCGGGTCACGTGTTTGTTGGGCTCAGGCTACTCTTTAAGTTTTCTACAGTATTGTCTTTGTTTTGGCCTGAACGGATCCTCCAATTCAATATGTTAAGGAGTGACTTTCTTTGCTAAAAGTGTTTGGTTAGCTCTTGCATAATATAGAATAATTAACTATAACATTTCTACTTTTGAAAATTCTTTTATATTCATTATCCCAAAATTTTGTTGAGGAACTTATTTTCGTGTATCAAATGATTTCTTAGATATTGAGCAAGCTTATCTATGATGATCTGATCAATATAAACATATTATAGGCAATTGAATTTTTTCAAATACGATAAACATGCATCCTTGCGTGTCTAATCCTCTTCAAGAAGCTCCAAGTTGATTGTAATTAATGGTCCTTGATTGAACATACATGTTGTCATATTTACTACATAATCTAGAAGGCCTTGGGAAGACTTCCATGAAATTTCATGTTGCTTGCACATTTATTAAGAGTTATATTTATCCTCCTAGCTACTCCATTTTGCTGCAGAGTTCCTGATACTATTCTCTCAATATTAGTCTCGTGAAATGCATAATCATTTTTTAATTATGTTGAATCATATTTTTTTTTATAGTTTATCGTAGACACTTAGTGATGTTAGTTTTATTCTCCACACTGCTTTTGTACTTCATAAAAGTTGAGATCACATCAATTTTATTTTGATAAAATAAACCTCATCTTCATGGTGTTCTCATCTATGAAGGTCTTGCAATACAATGACTAGGTTTGTGTGCACAAACTTTAGTATTTTGGCATTTATTTCTCTCCCAACCATTGAAAACCTCTCCGCCTTTGTTTGCCTAAAATATATCTTAACAGAAGGTGCTTTCAACATTTTGTAAACTTGAAAATTTACCTCTAGTATGGAGTTTTTTTAGGCCTTTCGTTGGCCTTTGAAACCTTGTTCATGTTTCTTCTTACTGTATTCGTTCATTATATGGTTAAGTTCACTACTGTTCCAGCTTCCAATCCAGTGTTCTAAATACCTGCTATTGTCGATGTTCCAGCTTCCAATCCAGTGTTCTAAATACCTGCTTCTGCTATGATTTGATTGTCGAATATTTTCAAAAGATTAGATCTTTCTCTTTGTTATTGCCCTTATTTTGAGACTGCTCCTGCTGCCAACATTTAAATCAAAAGATAATGTATCATTAGGATGAAATCTCTTATAACATTGAACATCACATAGGGATGGTCCATATGAGCTACTGACGTCTATTACAAATTCATCCCAGATCTAAAGCAGTTATAAGAACAAGCTTAAGGCATTGGATTTTGTCATAAAGCTTGATGTCACGGAGCAAATACCTTTCTGATTGAGTCGAACTCATTGATGTGATTGATTATTGGAACTCCTGACATCTTTACATAAAAAATAAATTGGCCTTTGTAGATTGCGTTTAACATTTTTATACATATCGGAGAGCATCTTAATGACCCTCGTTATAATGTTCTCGTTGAGCATATTAAAGGTAACACTCCTATTGAGGGATAGACGAAAAACACCTAGAGCTTATTTCCATCAACTCTACTCATCTTAATCGATTAACTGTGGCTTTACTCATTTAATGGTTGGAGTTATATGTGCTATATATAATCCTTTATTTGTATATTTTAGAACCCAAAGTTATAGTCAGAAAAAATTTCATATTTGATCTTCATGTGCATTTTTTTTACCAAGGTTTTATTTATTAGTTGTGAAAAAATAATTAAATTTCAAGTAGGAAGTAACAAAGATGAGAGAACAAACTCAATAATGATCACAAATAGAAGACATGTCTACATGTTTTAAGTAATTCATTTCTATATACGATCATATGAAGATTGAATAGTTTGCTGAGCTTTAAAATGGGTATAGAGAGTGATAATACTTCATCACATAGTTAAAGATAAAGACAAATATAAGACAAATATACCATTTTATCTGTTAAGAATTTTATATGGTTTAGTGTCCTATTTGTATATAGGAAATATAGAATATGTCAAAGCTTTTATTTGTATAGAAAGTTGTAAGGCTATATTTAAGCCAAATTATTTCATTAATTAAAGTGATTTTTCTTAGAGCAAAAACATTTCAATTTAGTATCAGATTTAGAGCTCTAACATACCACTTCCTGCACCGCCTCCTGCTCGATCTGTGGGACTTCTTCGGCGCGCCTCCCTAGCTGCGATCAGTAGGTTTAGCAGCGTCATCCTCGAAATCTTGATGCAGCGACGATGAATGAGCCGAGTTCATGAAGCAGCCGTGACGAGTACGATTGGATCGGAGTTGTCTTGGCAAAGCAATTGCGATCTCTAACAACGACATCTTTATGGCGAAACAATCACGATCAGAGTTAATAGAGTAGGCGTTTCGACGGGAGCCACTACCTCAACACATGCTCCAACG